CAGCAATGCCATCTGGTTATTTTTCAGGCTGGGCTATCTCTACAAAGCCTGCCAGGTCAGTTCTCAACACAGAGACTGGGCATCTGGTCTGTCACTTTCCAAGTAGCGAGGGCAGAATATACAGGGAGCCTGCGGGCTAGAGGCCCCCCTAAAGCTGGGCAGCCTAGGTGAGTCTTAGAGAGTTTAGGGACAAACATCAAACCTGAGTCTGGTGCCTTGTTCCTGATACGTTGCTTTATGTTGCTAGTCCCCATATCAGCTCCTCAATGACTTCTCCACTGCCTCCTCCCTGCTTTCCTCTCTTTGTAGAGGGGGCCAATATTTGAGGAGTGCAAGATTTTTAGGCATTGGAGCTAAGACTGGAAACTAGAAAGAGGTCCAAGTGAAGAATTAAAGCCTACTCATGGCCTGTGGCATATGTTTGTCAAGGGAAAGGAGGAGGGAATAGTGATCACCAGAAAGGTCAAGGGACCCCTCCTTGCAAATGCCTCCTACAGATTCTGATAAAGCATTTATAAACCAAGCCAAATGCTACAAAGAGACATGTTCCCAATGTAATGGGTTCAATGAGCTGGGGTAACATCATGTCATACTTGCTTGAGTTGTTTCCATCATCTTCCCAGAATGTGCCCAGAGCAATAACCATTACAACAACTTCATCGAAACAGGAGTGCCCCGGAGTGCTCCACCCTCCACTTTAAAGGTTAGGCTTTGTGTATTAGCATTCATTCCTAACACTAAAACTCCCTCCTTGTGTATAAGATGTTTAGGCTCTAACATAATTGGTTTGCATTTAAATGCCCAAATATGATTATTTAATCTTGATTCAATTAACAGGTCTGACTTGATTCAAGCCTTGCTCAAGAATGAGCCAAATAGTCATCTAAATAATAATTAGAACAAGACAAACCAGTCTTGCTGGTCTCCAATATTGGGGATTGAAGGAACTTCCAAGTCATCAGATAGAGCTGATGGATCTAGAGCCCCAACCCCAAGACTGTGCTCACTCATCTTTGAGCTACTAGGCTGTGGGTCTGGGGCTCGTTCACAGTGGCCAGAGGGGGCTCTGATAATTGCTTCCTCTTTCCAACTTAGCAATGATAATATGGAGTCTAGTTGAGGCGGTGTTGCTGGCTCAGGTTTGGTTGTTCCATGAGCTGAAAACAGAGCCAGGACTTAGGTTCAGCACAAAGAGCTGTGAGTTTGTCTGATTTAACCTTCCACCCGGTTGACGAACCCATGACTGTCATCACACCACTGCTTGGCCTCCGTCCACACAATAAGCCCACTACCTCCACAAGTATTAGATGGATCCAACTATAATAAACTCTTCATTGTTTTTATTCCAAAACCCTTTTCTGTAACTTTCATCCAAAGACCCTTTTGTCCTTAGGCCATTTTTTAATTTCCTCAACTCCACTCCTTCAAAATAAATTCTAGTTCTCAAAAAGTGTGCTGTGCTGAGGTATGCTGACCATCAGCTTAGACTCATGGTTTCGTATGAAACCAAATCACGGGCTTTGCCTTGACTTTTGAATGCTTCAGCTAACCCCACCCCCACTGCACACCACCACAACCCCAGACCTGGCAGGATCAGAGGAATTAAGCAAGCCAGCATATTGTTGTGCAAGTCATTCTGAAGACAAGAACAAAATTAGAGAGGAAAATGAAATAATTAGAGCTTTTGTCAATATAGTGACACAGGTTGGTGGGAGAATCTGAATTTTTTTAACCTGACTAGATTTCTGTATCAAACTGACAGTGTCATTTATGGTTCATAATGATATTGTGTGATTTTCACAATAGACCTGGATCCCACTGAGGACCAGTTTGCAGAAGGGGAAGCCAGATAGCCCAGTATCTTGATTAGACATGAACAGGTTAGAATTAATCACAGTTTACACAATGCATGGCACTGGGATGCTATGCTATAGGGAGCTATGTACCTGCCTGTCTTTGCCCTAGACTGTGAGGTCCTTGGAGGCAAGAAGTATGTCCCCTTCTTCACTGTGCCTTCAGGGTTGGCACAGGTGGATTCTCAGCAAATGCTTGTTAGATAAATTGATTCACAAAACGTTTTCACTTTCTGATATTTTATTAGTTTAGAGGAATTATTCAGGGGTGTATTCCGACTTTAATCACAAACTGTGCATCTCAGCACACCTGTATACATTCATAAGTGAACACATCCTCTACTGAAAATCTCAATGTCTAGATCAGGAAAAAAATTTACAAGAGAGCTACTTCTAAAAAGGATAGGGCCCTAGCTGGTTTGGCTCAGTGGATAGAACGTTGGCCTGCGGATTAAAGGGTCTCAGATTGGATTCTGGCCAAGGGCACATGCCTGGGTTGTGGGCTTGATACCCCCCAGTAGGGGGCATGCAGGAGACAGCCAGCCAATCAATGATTCTCATCATTAACGTTCTATCTCTCTCCCTTCCTCTCTGAAATATATATATTTTTAAAAAGGATTGGCCACATAGCCCTTCTAAACAAAAAGCTCCCCTACATTTAAAATGACACAACTTATAAAACTGTCATCAGCAATTCTTGGGAGCATGTACCACAAGTGACATTCCATGTAGCAGGATCAACTGTGACACAATTTTGACCTTTGCCACACTTTTGCTGGTTGAAATGCCATTAAGTCAAGGGGCCTGGAGGAAAAGTACCAAAGAAGAACTTTCAGCAGCTTGAGGTAAGCTCCTTTGCATATTCCTGAGCTCCAGGCAGGCAAAGCCTGAAGAGTGTAGCACATGAAGGCCCAGGGTACTTGACCCTGAGAATATATCAACCACAATATTGTAAATTCAGTGGTCTCTAGAGTCAAGGGAAGGAGATCTACATTTAAATGCTGTTACTTAATCAGAACAGCCACCCTGTGAGGTGTTTTTCAGATAATAAAGCTGATAGAGAGATTAATGTCTCCTGAAGTCACACAGAGGTGAGGAGTTAGCTTCAAATCCAGGCCTGCCCGTGTCCATGTGGGGTGGACCCAAGTTTGCAGGGAAGAGGGGTGTGGTCCTGCCACACACACACACACACACACACACACACACACACGCGCGCGCGCGCACTTCAATTCTGTCTTTGAAGGTGTCAGACAGAGACCCTGGCTTCCAGATAACCAACTTGGGGTTCAGCTTAGTCTGACCCTATATGCTAAAAAGAGAAAAGTCTATCACAAGTCCCTCAACACCTACAAAGAGGAAAGTGTTGTTGCAGGAATACGGATGTCCTCAGGTGGTCTCTTTGCCTAGAGTTATGTGGCATCAGTAATGACCCCCAGATGGCGGGGATGGTTCTGCCCTGTAGGAATGAGTGGGGTTAAAATAAAGTGGGCTTATCAGTTTAGTTTCTCTTTGTCTACCCCAGCCAGAGGAAGCTTTGTGTTAGATGGTTCTGGTTGTATTAGCCCCAATGAATAATCTCCTTGTCTCTTTATAAGATACTAGAGGCCCTGTGCATGAAATTCATGCACTCAGGGGGGTCTGTTAGCTGGGCCTGTGCCCTCTCGCATTCCAGGAGCCCTCAGGGGATGTCCGACTGACAGCTTAGGCCCACTCCACACAGTCAGACATCCTTAGTGCTGCTGCGGAGGTGGGAGAGGCTCCCGCTACCGCCGCTGCGCTCGCCAACTGTGAGTCCAGCTCTACACTTCTGGCTCAGTGGTGCTCCCCCTAAGGGAGCGCACTGACCACCAGGGGGAAGCTCCTGTGTTGAGCATCTGCCCCCTGGTGGTAAGTGTGCATCATAGTGACTGGTCATTCTGCCATTTGGTCAATTTGCATTTTAGCCTTTTATTATATAAGATGTAAATGTCTAATCACTTTTATATATCATTAATTACATATATAATGTCAAATTCACCTTCTAACATATATGTGTCTAATCACTATGCTGTATACCAAAAAATAATATAATATTGTCTGTTAATTATAATTTTAAAAATAATTTTTTTAAAAAAAGGGGGGAAGTCTCCTACCTCATCTGCAGAATCGTGACCCTTTACCTCTGGCCCCACCTCATCTCTTCCCCACCCTATATCCACCCACACATTGCCCTCACTGTACCTACTCTTTATCCTCAGACAACCATACTCTTTGATACCTTTGAGACGTTGTTGTTTCTTCTATATAAAATAGCTCTCCCCCAATCCTCTCTTAGCTGTCTACACCCAGCTCAGATGTCACCTTCTTGTCGTAGCTTGCCAAAACATGTCAGGCAAAATTAATTACTCCTTCATTCGGATTCCCATAGCACTTTGTACATCACTCTATACTGCTTGTCACATGATATGAGAGTATTTGTTCACATGTCTCACTGGTTGGATGATGCACTCTATGGAGGGGAGGGGACATTTCTTATTCTTACTTACATCCCCAGGGCCTGGAACAAAGGAGGGCTCTGTGAATGTTGTTGGACAGTGGCACTGTGTGTGCATCATTTTTTTGTTTTGTTTTGCTTTGCTTTGTTTTGCCAAGGGTCCTGGGAAGTTCCTTGTGGGCAGGAGCACAGGACAAGCTCCTGAATGACAGGACCTCTTCTCCCTCCCTTACCACATTCTCCAGTGGGACTCAGCTCGGTCCCTGGAGAAGACAGCCCCCCAGTTCTCGTACAAGAAGAACTTTCAAGGGGCAGAGTTTGGTTGGGGGCTCAAAGTGTCTTTTGAAGGACATCAAAATTCCTTTTCAAAACCGTGATGATAGCTCCCTAGGAGAAGGGAGTAGATACAGAGATGGAGTCACCATTTATGATCAGGGTAACTTTGAACAAGTTAATTTATCTTTCTGAGGTTCAATATCCTCATCTGTACAAATGAGAAAATATGCAGACCTTGTGTTGCTGTGAAGATTAATAATTACTGTTTACTGAATTTATTGGAGCTCTAAGGGCTCGACAAACACCACCCAGTGAGAACGTCACAGGGACAGAATCAAAACTTGAACCACTACTCCGTGTGAAAAGGACATGGAAAACTGCCAAAGAGCACACAAATGTTAGGTATAGCCATTTACTGATAGTTCATTTAAATCTGAAAACCTTTGTCCTGTTAGGAACTGAAACTGAGGGGCAAAGACATTTTTCCTGGGCCATGCACGGTAAATAACTGTTACAGGAAATTCAAAGGTGGGTGGTGGCAGGGAGAGCTAGTTGTCCACCAACAAATTGTGCTTCACTTTCCATGGGTTGAAGTGGCTGTCCAGACAGGATTCCATCTCCTGGCTCCTCTTGCATGTAGGTGGGGTCATGCAGTAGCTTCTCCTACAGAGTTTGATCAGAAATGACGTGTCATTTGCAGGTCAAGATGATTAGGAGAAGGGTGTGGATAGCTAAAAGGTAGAAACAACCCAAGCATTTACTGACAGATAAATGACTAAACAAAATATTGTCTACACATACAATGGAATATTATTCAACCTTAAAAATAAATGAAATTCTCACACACACTACAACATGGATGAACCTTGAAGACAGTATGCTAAGTGAAATGAGTCAATTGCAAAAAACAAATATTCCACCTATATGAGGTAGCTGGAGTAGCCAAATTCATAAGAGACAGAAAGCAGAATGGTGGTTGCCAAGGGCTGGGTAGGGGGTGGGGAGTTAGTGTTTAATGGGTAGAGAGTTTCAGTTTGGGAAAATGAAAGTTCTGGAGATGGATGGGTGGTGAGGGTTGCACAATGTAAGTGTGCTTGGTATCACTGAACTGTACACTTAAGAGCTGTTAAAATGGTCAATTTTATGTATATTTTACCTCAACAAAGAAGAAGGTAAAGGAGGAAGAGGAGGAGGAGAAGGAGGGCTCCACCTACCCCTGACAGCCCTCAACCCCACCCCATGCCTTCCCTCTTTCCACCCTATGCCTTTCCCTCATTTGCATCATCACTTATAGACCCTCACATCCTTATTTGTCACCACTTTCTTTAAACAGAACTAAAAAACATATGGAAGAAAAGAAGAAGAAGAGGAAGAAGGAGAAGAAGAAGAAAAAGGAGGAGGAGGAGGAGGAGGAGGGACTTCTCTACATCTGCCAGTTAGATGCAGAGAATTTCCAGGTCCAGAGACTGAAACATCCACACAGTGGAAGTAGCCACATGACAAAAAGCCACTTGCTGACTAGGAATCTGGCGCTGGGCTCTTCTGTGAGTGATAAGTAGACTTCTAATGTGTGAAACCATTTAAATCGGGGTTTAATTTGTTACAGCAGTGACTGGAACTCTAACACAACCTGCAGCCAATGCTGATGGTTGATGTCACAGGATGTTAACACTGCAATGTGGTCCCCTGAGAATGGCATGAGGGACACTTCCAGAGCTTGGCTTGGTTTGGGGCTGAGGAGATGTTGGCGCTAAGGGCCCACCTTCAAGTTCAGCAGTTCTCAAAGACTGAGTTAGAATTCTTGGCTGTGAGATGGCTTCCAAGGACTCTGTTACTGTGGAAACCCAAAGGAATTTATCTCCTTGAAGACACATCACCCATTGAGTGATAAGAACTGGGTGTAGAAATGCAGAGAGAGAAGGGAACTGTGGCCCTCAGTCACCCAAGGGCAGACATGGGAACCTGTCCCCACATGCTCTTCTCGGCACCCTTGGGCCCAGGGGAAGCGACTCCCTGTGGCTCCAGTTGGGCAGCAGCCTTAGCTGAGCATAGCATTGAAGGGGGCAGGGATTGTCCTGTCTTGTGCTCAAGAGACAATTGTCAGTGGGACCTGCACCAGGGCTGATGGCTCTGCCACTAACCCCAGGATTAGCAACAAGAGGAGTTCCAACCTCAGGAGGTGGGAGCAACCAGAACAGGCTCTGGGGCTCAAATGGAGTCATGGAATTACAAACTGGCAGCAACTACAATTGTGGGAGCTGGTTGTTCAGGCTCTAGCCCCTCTGACTTTAGCAGCAACCCAAGACCCCTGGATTTGGCAGTGACTGAGGAGCTCCCTAACCTCAAGGCATGCCTCTGAGGTGGCTCCAGGTATCAGATAAGCATTCAGATAAGAACACCTCTGGACCTCTTTGGCTCACCACAGGACAGTGACCTTGGGAAAGAGAGAAGGCCTTCCTTGTCCTTGCAATAGAGGGGCTGAAGCTGGAGCCAAACTAATGGAACTGATAAAAGAGGTGCAACCTCATCTCATTCTTAATTTTGCAGAGAATTTATTGTTTTAATGAATTAGAGCAGCGGTCACCAACCGGTGGTCCGCGGACCACTAGTGGCCCATGAGGTCCAAAAGGTTGGCGACCACTGAATTAGAGCAATTCCAGGTTACTTTATAATGACAATACTCTTATGTGCATGCCTCCTGTGCTCCTATGCTAGAGAAGAAGCAATGGAGTTAGGCCTAGGGAGCCAGGAATTGCACACAAATTCGACAATTGTGTCAAAATGTGGGAAGGCCCATGGGAGTGAGTCATTCAGGTGATGGTAATGTGAGTTACATTGCAGTAAAGATTGAGAATGATTGATCTTTACAGATTCCCACCCCTACCCTACCCCTGGATTCAATGTCAATGTTTATTAAATGCACGATTGCCTCTCTCTTCCTCATGATAGCTGAAAATCTCCAGGATTCTCCGGCAGTGGTCATCACACTGCTGTTGGCTCTTTCCTCCCCTTAGCTTGCCCTGGGCATTCACTGTGTGATGTGATACACCAGGCTCTGGGGCATTCAGAGATAACAGCACAACATTCAAAGAAAAGAAAACGTGCAGATCATAACCTTTCTTTGCATTCCCTGTGTCTTGGCGTCTCTTGGAGTCAGTTCTCCGTCTTCCTCAAAGGTGCCTGTTTGCTTCTCCAACTCTGGGCGAATGTTGGCATTTTCCTTCACAAGGCCAAGGTGGAGTGTAAGCACCCGGCCTATTGCCTGAGCCCTATTTAAAGAAAGTTGTTTTGGCTTCCCTGGCATTTTTCACATCTCTGATGCGATCTCCGCCCAGGCCTGTGCAAGAGCCAGCTGATGAGCATCTGAAGCCAGCCTTTGAAACAGTGCCAAGACCCCAGGGCCAGTGCCGAGCTCTCGCCCCTCCAGCCCGCCTGACCTGAGCAGGGCCCAGTGGGGAGTGGAAAACCTTAGGGAAGGGGGACCTGTCCCTCGCCAATCAGAGGCTAACTCAGAGCTGCCAATCTGGAATCCCAGTTCCCACAACATCTCAATGCTCTCCTAGCCACTTGCTGTCAGGATGACCCACCTCCTGCCTGGCTGTCAGTGCTCACCTTTATTGGAAGCGCTCACTGGGTCATAGGAGTATTTTCCCATTCCCTTCAGCACCTGAGTGGGTTGGTGGTTGTGGTGACTTGAGGTCACTTAGAGACCTGCCTGCTCAGTCTCCCCTGTCCCTCTGCCCTCTTGCTGCCACTGGGAATGGGCAGAGCTATTCCTAACACACGAGTTGAGCAACACTACAGGGAAGCTATGCTAGAATGAGTATACCCAAGCTGAGATCACCCTGCCTTGCAAAACTCAAGTCCACTTCCATGGAAGGGCTAATGTGCCCAGGTGTCTGCATATTCCTGGCGGGGCAGGTGAGAGTGGACTCGTGTTCTTGGGATCACCCCTGGCTCCTGGTTTCCGCTGCCATTGGATTCTTTCAGTTTGTGTCACTTTGCCATCTGTGTGTGCTGTCCCGGGTCTGCACTCAGATGTGGAACTCAGGGCCTCGTCTTGAATTTCATCAAAACCAAACTCCCATGTAAGACCTTTGTGTGTGCTGCAGACGGCCCAGGCTGCTCAGGCCAAGGGGATTTACACTGTTGCAATGCAAACAACTTCATATGGAATTTTTAATCTTAAATGATCTTCTTTGAGGCTACCCTGACGTCCAGAGATTTCTCACTGGCCAGACCACCTGGCATTACTAACGAAGCTCATGTTTCTCAAAAAAGTGGTTTATGAACCACCTTTACTAGAATCACCAGTGTAGAATGGGACAGAGGGTCTGTTTGCTTTGCGTGTGTGTGTGTGTGTGTGTGTGTGTGTGTGTGAGAGAGAGAGAGAGAGAGAGAAAGAGAGAGAGAGAGAGACCGAGTGGAGTGTAGTTTGTTTGTTTGGATTTTGTTTTTGTTAAAATTTTGTAAGTGAACCTTTACATTTGAGGGTGCTCCCCCATGATATTTAGTGTCCACTCACTAGAGTGGCCTCTGAGACCATATCCACAAAATCCAAAGAGTTGAAAGGAACAGTGAATGCCATAAAATTCAGGGGTTTTCAAGCATTTTGCTTGCATTCCCCTCAAAAAAACGTTTGAAATATTATGCACTCCCCTCAAACATTTTTGTGTTGATATCTAAAAATTTTCATCTTAAGTTTATATTTTTCATCTTAATTATAAAGAGCTACAAGAGACTAAATTGCATTGTAACTTTAAAATATTTTTAACAGTTTAAACAAAGAATTCAAGTGTTATAATAATTGATATCCTCCATCATCCTTTGAAAAATACCATGAATGTGCTGTTAACAATTGTAAATATCACATTATTCCTTTTTCTCTTTGAATTTGAATTTTCATTTTTCCTCCTCTATATCTTTATCTTAAAATAATATAATTTATGATGAAAATCTTTTATTAATTGTTTATCATAGTTCTTTTAAAAGTGTATATAGATCATCTTGGCTGGTGTGGCTCAGTGGTTGAGCATCAACCTGGGTACCCGAAGGTCATGGTTAGATTCCCTGTCAGGGCACATGTCCAGATTGTGGGCTTGATCCCCAATCAATGATTCTCTCTCATCGCTGAAATCAATAAAAATATAGTTTTTAAAAAGTACATACACATTCAATTTTCCTTCCATTTCTGTGGACATAAAGCTGTGCTGTCTAATACTGTAGCCACTAGATACATATGAGTATTTAAAATTTTTAATTAAATAAAATTTAAAATTCAGTTCCTCATTCATGCTAGCCACATTTCAAGTTCTTAATGGCCACATGTGGCTTATGGACCATATAGACAGACAAATAGAAAACATGTCCATCATTGAATAAAGTCCTATTGAACAGCACGAGTTTATAGTGTGACAAGATTTTCATCTGGAACTAGTTGTTATTACAATTAGTAGTAACACACAATTCATCAAAATAACATAGATATATCAGCACATTTATTGAACAATTTGATAAGATTATAATCCAAAAAGTAACATTTTCTTGGAAATGCCTTTCCTAATTATATGATTGGTTCTTTTTTTTTTTTTTTGTATGTATGTATGGCTATTACTTTCTCTAAGTTCAGCACCAATTCTACCTTTAATTTTCACTTTTAAAAATATGTGCTAAGAAAACTTGCTCAAAATGAAGGGGGTTTATTGCAGTGATATTATTTGAACCGTTGAACAAAAGTTATACATGATGACAAGGTTATTAGTGATTTATCATCAGATATTAAAAGTTCATTAGTTTCTCCTGCACCTTTGCTAAAATGATGAGATACTATCTGACTTGCAAAAGGATCTGTAATCCAATCTTTAGAGTAATTTACTTTCTTGACTAGAACCAAGAACTCTGAACTCTCTTGATGGAGTCCGGAGATTTTTACAAATAGCAAGACGACAGCATGGGCCACATCTTTCTTCTGAAAAACACAGGAAAAGGACATTTATTAAAGAGGAAAGGAGAACAGCCCACTCAGGGGAGCAATCCAGGGAGACCGGTTTTAGGAAAGAGGACATCTGGCTGTGAGCATCTAGAAATTGATTTCTTTAGTATCATCTGCATTGCAACCCTTTAGAGTGTCTTCATGGATCCTGGGAATGTGCTTATCCCAGTTTAAAGACCGCTGCTCAAAGAATTCCAAATGTTTCTCAGTTCAGCTCTCACCTTTTTTTCTCTTGGCCACTACATTTTTTTAAATACAAATACATGAATTAGTTCAGCATATTTAAGGGCCTATTCTTTTTCCCCTTTCTTTTCTTTCTTTCGTTCCAATAATTTATACCTAATATATGTATATATTTAAATAAGGTACACACATAGATAATCTGTAATAATAAAAGCATAATATGCTAATTAGACTGGACAGCCAAACGACCTTCCAGGAGACTTTCCGGACGAAGCTGGGCTGCAAGGGCCGAGCCCCTTGCACGAATTTCTTGCATTGGGCCTCTAGTATATAATAAGCATACATTTATTTATCTATAAATACATACTATATAATAATTAAGCAAATACCTGTGAACCCATCACTCAACTTAGGAAGTAGAACAATATCAAATTGTTCTAGTTAGTTTCCCTCCTTCTATCCTTCTAGGGACATGATCAGGTTGTACTCCCCCACGCCCTTGAAGTTACACATGGCCATGTGACTTGCTCTGGCAAATAGAATGGGGTAAGCAGAAGCAAAAAAGTGCCGCTTCTGGGTGGCCTTTAAAAACCAGTGCATGATTTGCCATATTCCCTCCCCTCGCACACCTACTAGAGACATACCATCTGACGGAGGCCCTATCAGCTTGCCCACAGCTCACCTTTGCTGTATTTGAGCCATTGTGACCTCAGGTGTTGTTTGTTGCTGGAACATAACTAGCCCGTCATAACTGAAACAACTATCTCTGCCTCTTCATGTCTACCCCTCAGCAATGTTCTTCTTCCCCTCTCCCCTAGGGACACCACTCTCCTTGCTCTTCTTTAAGGTTTACCACATATTTCTACCCCTAAATAATATATTTAATGTGTTTTTGAACTCTATAAATATGAAATCACATTTTATTATTATTATTTTTTAATTTTTTATTGATTTTTTACAGAAAGGAAGGGAGAGAGATAGAGAGTTAGAAACATCGATGAGAGAGAAACATCGATCAGCTGCCTCCTGCACAATCCCTACTGGGGATGTGCCCGCAACCAAGGTACATGCCCTTGACCGGAATCGAACCTGGGACCTTTCAGTCCGCAGGCCGACGCTCTATCCACTGAGCCAAACCGGTTTCGGCACATTTTATTATTTTTATATAATAATTAAGCAAATATTGATAACTGTGAGTATACCACAATTTATCCGTTCTACTATTTATAAACATTTAAGTTGGGGTTTTCTTGGTTATAAATAATACCACTGTGGACATGTTTGTACACATCTGTTGGGAAAGAAGCATGAAGTCTTCTCTGGAGTAGCAGTTCCCAAAGTGTGGTCTGAGGACATCTGGGCGCCTCTGAGACCCTCTCAGGGGACTCTGTTAAGCCAAAACTATTTTTGTAATAATACTAAGATGCTATTTGCCTTTTTCTCTCGAGAGTGAACGGTGGATTTTTCCAGCAGGTACATGATATCACAAGACGCTGGTACAGAAGCAGGTATGAGAATCCTGTTGTCTTCTATGAAGCCAGATTTGCAAAACTATAAAATGATGCCACCCTTCCCACTAAGCTGTTTTGCTTTGGAAAATATAGCTATTTTTTTCATAAACATATTATTTATGTTAGTATGTATTGTTGCTTTTAAATGAATTAATAATTTTTTAAATTCTTTGTTTTAAGTTCTACTCTGATAAATATAACTCACCTAAACAAAAGTTATTTGAAGTCCTCAATAATATTTCAGAGTAGAAAGGGGTCTTCTGGCTCTACTGGACTGAAAAGGAGCTTCCACGAAGAAAAAAATGTTTCCCACTTTTTTTTTCCTCCCTGACTTGGAAGAAAGAATCTAGAAGGTCTGTTCTTGCCTCAGAAACACAAAGAGGTAGAGCTTATTTTTACTTCCCATTATTCAAAGCATTCTCAGGCAGAGACCACAAATAGCTTCTAATATTCCTCCTCTGAGAACAGACACACGCACCTGGGAATAATTGCACTCACAGGAAGTAGACCATGTGCACAACAGCCTGGGGGAATAAAAACCATCCTGATACTCAGAAACATGTTTACTTCAGAGCAGGGTTTTTAACCAAGAAAAATGCTTCTGGGTTGTGTCCACTCCCTTGATGCCCTTGTCCCTCCTCCCTTCCCACAAATCTCCCACTTCCGTCACAAGTTGGCAGGAACTTGACGTGCCTCAGCCCTGGGAGGCCTGCCAGAGTCCTCCCACTTTCCTGAGAGGTTCTCTTCTATTTCTAAGCAGAGTTGTTTAAAACCGGATGCCACATGGTGCCCTGGCTCCTTGACCTCCGATCCCCCCCTCTCTAAACCCCTGGCCCCATGGAGTAGCCCCCCACCCCTCACTGTTCCTGACTTCAGAGCCAGACAGTGTAACCACAGCCAACTTCCTCTGTGGGGTGGGCAGGCGCAGGCTTTGGGCCAATGTGGGGGAAGCTTCCAGAGGAAATTTCACTGGGCAATCAATGAGACTTCCAAAAGGCCTTTCAGCCGCCTCTGCCCTCAGCTCCTTCCATTACCTTCTTCCCCTGCCTCAATGTCCTAAAATCCTTAGGCCAGAATAATGAGACCAGCTCCTCTAGCCCTAGGCCCTCACTGCAACAGGGCCAGACTTAAGCCATCCCAGATTACAGGGAGATATCCTCATTGATAAAGCAACCAAAGGAGTGTCTACAGCTTCCATTCATTTAGTTCTAATACACTACTCCTTGAGCAAAAGGTGTTCATTCATTCATACCTCCATCATTCATTCATTTTCTATTCAACAAGGTAACTACGACGTACTAGCTACTCTTCACAGTTCTGTGCCCTCGTGAATCCTATGTACCGATGGATGTTAGGAATTTAATACAAGGAAAGAAGGACTAGGAAGTCATTCAAAATATGATAATAAAGAGAGTAATTAAAAGGCTTCTCAGTTCCAGAAAATGACAATAGCTTCTGGCCCAGGTGCATCTAGGGCTCACCAGGCCTGAAGCCCGGATCTGGAATCAGGAAGACCAGAAAAACAGACAAGAATTCGATGGCTAATGGGAGCGAGACATTGGAAATGTGGCTTTGGATTTCCCCCAACACGTGTGTGGAAGGGGTGAGCCATCTGAAGCTTCAGGGGGGTGGACCCGGGCCGCAGCAGTAGACCTCTCTGCCGATGTGTTTGGAGCAGCTGGCG